CACCGGAAAAATATTAAATCTTAATTCATGCATCTCATCTGGATATGGCCTTTTTTTTTTTTTTTGGGTTCAATTCATCACCCTCTTTCTATAGCGCACTGCATCAATTGTAATTGCATGTAAAAAAGGTCGGACATAAAAGAGGTTTATACAGTGTTATTCTTTAATTTTTTTGAGCATAAAAAAATAATCAGTTGCTTATCATATCAGATAGCTTAAACACAAATGAATGATTTAAATGCAATAATTGAAAAAAAAAAAAAGTATTATTATATGTTTTAAAATCACAAGCATTATTTTATTTTAGAGTAGTAGTTAAATCATCAAAGGATATATATAATTTATGTAGGAGATAAATAATGAACTATATAATATATTTTACCTATATAATCACACTGATAAGAGACGACAGTTAAAGTGTAAAAAATAAATATAATATAAATACGTTTTAATTCATCAAGCTTCCGGCAATATCGGATGTAGAAATAAAGTTTAATGCGGCGTAAAATTAAGGAGGTGGTGGTTAATGTAAGAAAGAGCGAAAGAAAAACTGCGACGTGTCAACTTGACATTAACGTACTTTTCATGCAAATAATGAGCCACAAAGTGATTGTTTTGTGACCAGTTAAATAAGTGCAAGGGGAGGTCAGAGAGTTTTTTTTTTTTTTTTTTATCTGTTTTTCTCTTTTTTTTTCCCTTTAAATTTATCAAGTTACCAGCTGTTGTTTTCATATCAGAGTCAAAAAAAAAAGTTAAAAGAGTGATGAAGAAATACGTGTTTTTTTTTGTTTTGTTGAAACGATATCGCCTTCGTCAACAACAACCACAAATTTCTTCGTTTCAGTAGCAGCAAGCGGTACACTTTTTTTGTATCTGGTGACGGTGTACAATGGAATGAATTGATGAATTTTGCAGGCCACTGTTCTACTTTTGGCTGTAGATTCTGTTTAACAGAAGGTAAACATCGACTAGAATTGAATGAAGATGGATATGCAGTACCTGGTAAACATGGAATGTATTTTCAATCAAGAAACCAGGAGCGATACGGTCAAAAAATAGTTTGATTTTAAAAGATAAACGCCAAAAATATCTAGTAAGTAATTATTTATATTATACCTGAAACACACTATTAACGCATTATACTTACATAGGAAAATGAATCATACGGTATTAAATCACCAAGTGTATTTTTTCCAGACTTGCTTCTCTTTGATTCGGTTTTCTACCATCCAGTTGACGAAATGCATCTTTATTCAAATATTGCAAAAGAGTTATTCGAAATGATCTCCCCAAAATACTGTGAGCCATACAAGTTCATTGGAAATCAAAAAGAATATCCATTTTCTTTACCAAAGCAAGCATTTGATGATATCAAAAAAAGTATGGAACAGTCAAGGCAATATATCCCTGCATCATCTTTCAAATCAAGTTGGTTAGCTTTGGATGTCAGTAATGTAAAGTCCTGTTACAGATCTGCTGACTGGATGAATTTTCTTGTATACTGTGCATACCAACAATTATTGCATCTCAATTTGAAAACATTGAAATACGAAATAGCTTGTTGAATCTTTGTCATGGTATATCTCTATCTCTTCAATTTAGTATTACCGAAAATAATCTAAAAGAGATTGAAAAGTAAATATTTTAAAGTATTATATTATATATCTTTATCTTACGTTTTTTTTCTATATAGATCTTTTGAAAATTGGTTCAAGTTCCTTGACAAAATGATTGCTGAGAATAGAATATCTGATTGTGTTCTTAGAGTAAACATGCACCAGCTTTCTCATATACCAGAAATGATTCGTCAATGCTCTATACTTCGTGGATATTCTGTAAGATCAATGGAAAGAGAGATAGGTAAGCTATATGTACAAAAAAAAAAAAAAAAAAAAAAAAAAAAAAAAAAAAAAAAAAAAAAAGTTTAATAAATTACTAAAAGATAAAATCTTTAGGTGCGTACAAAAAAAAAAAAAAATCAGGTCTCGTGTCAAGTCCGGCGAAAATGCAAACATCATCTTGGAAAGAATTGCCTTGTATTCATTTATGAGAAATACTGAAATGTTGAATTTTGATAGTGTCGGAAAACAAGTTGGTGATAGTTCCAATACATTTGAATATCATCCTTCTGGGAACAAAGATTATGGTCAACTTTGGGGTTCCCTTTTACAACGAATTTAAACTTGAAGAAAAACTGCGATGATACTCTTGTTGGATGTAATCTAATTCCTCTAAAGTCATTTGTCAACGCCCTAAAATCCTATAAAAAAAAAGATTACTGGGTTTAAGTACACCCTACATCATCAATAGACATTAACCACTTACAGAATATAAAACCAGCTACTGAAACGAAGAAGTTTGTAGTTGTTGACGTAGGCGATATTATTTCAGTCGTAGGCTTACAAAAATCAACAAAACAAAAAAAAAACACCACGTATTTCGTCATCACTCCTGCAAAACTATGTTCGGCTGCCCTGGTTGTATATTTACTCTTGGAAAACTTTTCAACATACATTCAGAAACTCATATGGAATGTACACCCCATCTTTTTAATAAAAAACGGAAAAACTGGCCCCTTTTTTATAGCTCCTGATGAAACAAAAGTTTCTGAAGGTAGCGGGGGGGGGGGGGGGCTTCGTAGACATACAATCAAGTTCTAAGTAGTCTTGGACAAGAATAAAAAGAGATAGTGGATAAAAAAGTAACTGATAACCTAAATATATACGATGAATTCAAAATTGATGATCAATCAAGAAAGTTTCTTCAATGTTTTGATTGTAAGCCAGTAGTAATTTTAGAGGAGGAAGATAATAAGGAAAGAATGATATGCTTTGCTCTAAACTCCCTCAGTTTGGCAATATATTAGAAAACAACAACAAAAAAAAAAAATAAAATTGGCCGTACCAATTTTGTCAACAAATCGGCAGATGCATTCATACACCTAAAAGTGATACAAACATTGACAGGATAATACGAAAAGAAGCCAATATTGCGAATTATTATCATTTAAAGAATGGGCCAAGATGAGCAAATCTCAATTACAGTTATTAAATGCATCTTGGCCCTCAAGAGCTTTATTTGTCTTTTGGGTTATCACAATTAATTAGCTGGATCCATCCTCATCAATCAAAATGAAGCCCTTCTGATAAATGGTATCGAATCATACTGTATAGATTCTTCATCTATTGGTGCTCATTGTGAGCAATTTATTGGCGCTGGTAACCAATCCTCTGTTCCTCATCTTACTTCTTCATATTCAAATGAATTGAAATCTATAACAGTAAATGAGGACAATTCCAAAAAAAAAAAAAAAACTGATCATTAGCTCACGTTCAGCCAGCTTTTTGGTTATTTCTAATATAAGAAACGCCAATTTACCTAGACGCTGATTCAGTAAAAAAAAAAAACCAATGCGATTATTGAAGAAGGAAACAGCTACAAATTGCCAATTGATATGGATCCCATGAATCATATGAGACAACAGCTCAGATCAAAATTCAATTACTTCAGCACGTTTTGTCTTGCCAGATGCTTCAGCGGGATTACACCATAACTAGCAATTTACAGCTATATACAATATATACGCTTGTCAATAGTAATTCTAAAGAAGCAAATGATGCTGTTTTGGGCTCCAAAATTATGGTTATTATTGCTGATGCTGTGCATACACAGCCTTTAAACCCACAAATTAAAAAGTGGGTTTGTACCAAGCTTGTTCCAGCAGAGAAGAAAAAGACAACATCAATCCATCAGTCATTGGGAACAAGTATCAATTTATTTGGTAATAACTCAGATACTCATTCACATTATTGGAAATACAAACTTGGCCAGTATCTTAAGAAATATTGCTGATATTACAACTGCAAGTTTTGAAAAATTTTAAATGGACATATTGTTACACCGAATTTCTCTTATTACCAAATTTAAATATCTATTGTCCTCAAAAAGACCATCCTTCTCAACGACGATGCTTCTTGATGAGGATGTTACTTTAAAAACTCAGTTTTTGTAAAAATATTAAAAATTAGAAAACATATAAATACCTTTAAAAAATATCAAACTAAATAAAAATCAATTCACTATTTTGTAACAATTAAAACCTTTATTCTTCTTTATACTTAAAGACCTTATCTTTTGATTTAATAATATCTTATTTTTATTATATTTTATTTTATTTCTTCTTACATTTGGATTCCCTTGGATATTATTAAACTCTCCATTGTATTTTACTTTTAAAAACTCTATTTTCTTATCTTTACTTTACTTTTATCAAGTCGTTCTACTTGTCAACAGGAACTGGTGCTCACGAAACTCTTTTTTTCTTTATCGAACTTCTTTTTCTTTAACCACGAACAAACTACTTTTAACAATATAATTGTGTTGAGGATACTTATATAGACACAGCTAAATAAATACGTGATCATTGTAGTTTTATTATATATATTATTTTTATTTTGTTATTATTAAAGCAAGATCATTGTTTAATGCTGGGTATAGGCAGAAGACCACATTACTTTCTCAAAGGTCAATAACATAACAAGTTGTCATCATATATGGAAAGTGACAGTAACAAGAGGTTGTTGTTTGACCTTGCATGAATTTCCGATCAAAGTAACTTACCAATATATTGTTGGGGCTATTATCAGTAAGGAGAAAGTTAAATATGGCCAAAATATTCAGAACAGAATTGCGGCCTTTAATCGGAAACGGCCTTAAATCGAACGGCCTTAAATATAGCGAGTATACCAGTAGACGACAATGGCTGATACATCATTTTTTCTCTTGAGAAAGTTGGATGCAGGCCTTTGGCTTTCGAAAAGTTCTACAAAAAAACATGTTATTTTTTTCTTAATCTTTGAATATACATAGTTTCTAATCCTATAAAAAAAAAATAGAGCGACATTTGTAACAATATCATTGTTGTCTTTTACTTCACAATATATACACTATTAATCATACGTCGTACAAAAGAAAAAAATAGTAAAAAAAGCAAAAGAAATCGCTCCCGGGTGGGCTTGAACCACCAACCTCCTGATTAACAGTCAGACGCGCTAGCCAATTGCGCCACGGAAGCTGTTCATGTCAATTTTTTAATTTTATTGTATATAGATTAAAAAAACAAATAAATCACCACGTGATATGCACGTGATATAAAGTTAATTTAGCAGAAATATTGAACGAAAAAAATATTTTACCCTTCTTTTTTTATTATTTTGGGAAACAAAAAAAAAAAAAAAAAAAACGATTGAATGAATAGTCAAGAGTAATTGAGTTTTTTATATAATAAAACGATTGCAAAAATGAATTAGAGATTCATTTTTTTTATTGCAATGTAGTCGGTTTACAAGTGCAAGTTTATTTCCTGATCCTTCTTCTTCTTTACCTGTTGTGAGAAAAAGAAGATATGCAAAAGAACAAGTAGTAGAAAAAAAGGAGGAGGAGCAGGAACTTATAGCTTTTGGATATGAATTAAAAATATTTAATAATAAACTTGAAGCACAAAAGGTTGCAAAAGGAAGTTATTTAATACCTTGGAAGTGTCAGTTGAAAGAAGAGACATTGATAGATAGGTAAATATAGGGTTTTTTTACTTCAAAAAAAAAAAAAGCGTATGCTAAAATTATACCCGTTTTTTCCTGTTGTGCTACTTTTGTCAGGTACGACATTCGCCATTTGGTACAAGACAAATCATCGTTCATAGTCAATGAAAAAGCCAAGCTTGATCCAGTGTATGATAATGAGAGATATACAACGATGAATGATTCTAATAATAAAGCAAAAGCAGAGATTCCATACGATTATAACGATGCTAATAAAAAGCTAAAGATTACGGTTACAGAAATAGAAAAGGAAATCATGAAAAAGTACAAGACACCTAAATCGATGATCGTGGTAAAAAAAAAAAAAAAAAAAATGAATTGAAATAATTACTAATAATTTTATATGTATGTATTAGCCATCAAATATGATACAAATGAATATTATTGAATCAGTATCAAAAGAGATCAAGACAGCAAAGAATCCAAATCTATTAGAGATTCGAATTCAAGTAAAGAATAGTAGTAATGAACTTTATTCGTTTTTAAATAAGAGAGATAGGCTCTACCCATTTTATCAATATATTGTGAAAAGAAATAACTTGGTAGAATACAGTGATAGCGAAAGCAGTGATAATGAAAGCAGTGACAATTAGGTAATACTTATCGTGTTAAATACGGAAATAAATTTATGGGGATCAGTGCGCACCCAAAAAAAAAAAAAAAAAAAAAAAAAAAAAAAAAAAAAAAAAACTATTTTTAAAAGAAGTTAAAAATTTTACAATATTACATAAATCAGAAACATTTCATGTGATTATTAGTATTACGAATTAACAGTCGATTTTCAATATTCCTTCTTTTTACAAATAAAGAGGAAGAGGAGAGTGGTTAAAGTGAATAAAAAAGTGCTTTTTATTCTTTCACGTGAAAATATGTCAACCTTTTCCCGACATTAAAACTCACTTGATTTTTTTTTTTTTTTTTTTTTCTTCTTCTTCTTTCTTTAATAACTCATCACAATGGAAAATACAAGACAACGAAATACACATAAATCATCATCAAGAAGTACTTCACCTACAAGGCCTGTACCTTATCGTACACATCATCATCATCATCAACCTTTATTATCTAGTAGATGGCAACAACTTGTAGTAGGCGCTGGATCTGCTGCTGGTACTACTGCAGCTGTAATCAGTGAAGAATCTATGAAATGTTTAAAATATTGTCTTAGTTGGTTACAATACGCGATTCAACATATTGAACAACAAATGATGATTCTTAAAAATTATCTCGTATCTTTAGCCACCAACAATAATAATAATTTACTTGCACCAACAACTAATACTACTAATAATAATAAAACAAATAATCAAAGATCAGTATTATCTGGTATTAAAAAAGATATGGTTGAAACACTAAGAAAGGTAGTTGAGGTCATAACACGATATGCTGGTGCATCATTACCTACACAAGCCAGACAGACAGTGAGAGGGTTTATATTAAATTTACCTGGTAAATGGGTAAGTACTTGAATTATTTAGCACATGCATTTATTAAACTGTATTTGTAATTCTATATATATATATATGTATAGGCTACTTTAAATGATATCCGATCCACCAATACTTCGCCTGCTTGCTCACCCATGTTAGGACCAAGAAAATTAAATCAAGTAGTAGATCCAAAGCAAGAAGAAGCTACATTAAAATTACTCGCATTTGGACAAGAATCAGTTGAAATGTTACATTCTGTTTCCACTGTATTTTCTGATACCGTAGATAGAGCAGAATTATGGATTGATCGCTTAAAAATGGTACCTGGTATGAGTAATAATAAATCGGCTGCCGTCAATGAAACTGTTGATCTCCTCACTCTAAATGGTGAAAGTGTTCGATTACCACCTATTCGTAATCTTGAAAATAATCAATCGCCACAAAAATTAAACCCTGATCTTTAAATCATAAATACACTACTCTCTCACTCACATTATAATATATCATTCTCTTTGCATACATTAAAAAAAAAAAAAAAAAAAAAAAAAAAAGTCTTTATTTTTTTTTTGGTATTTATATTGAAGCATTAACAACAAAGAAAATGTTTTCAGCACACTTTATTTATTTTAATGTATTTCATTGACATAATACTCGTATGGGAAAGGTGTACCATCTGCATTATAAACGGAGGGTTTAGAGTCATCTTCTATCGCAACCCAACCACCTGCAGGTGCAGTCACCATAATAATATCACCATAAGGTTCATATTCCTTATCACCTGCCCAAGTTTGACGTTGTAGCTAGTATATATATATATATATATATGAAATGTTAGTAGTAGTAATAATAAGATTTTTGTTTCTTTTGATCTTTATATTACTGTATTTACTTACAGCAAACTCAACCACAGTTCTAGGATCACCTGTGGAATTGCAATGTCTATTAGTAAAATGACAACAGGCTCTATCGCTGGTGGGTATTCTTTTTTCAAACCTTTATTATATAGAAATATAAAATTTTACAAAAACACTCTGTATACATATATACAAAAATTTATATCTTAATTCATAACAATTACCTGTGTCTCTTTTTACCCGCGATATGCAGTTCCAATTGACGTACATGAAGGAGATTCTTTTCTGAACGATTGTAAATACAAAATGCTTGAGTATAACCAAGAAGAACTAATAAACAAAATACAAGCTTCTTCATCTTTAAATTATAAAAGATTTTGTTTTGTTTTTTTTTTTTTTTTACAGTTTATTTAACCTGGTATTTATATAATTATCATCTTCGAAGCATTAGCAACAAAGAAGAAAATAGAAAAATGTCGTCAACATCTTTTATTTATATTAATGTGGTTCATTGTTGACATAATACCTGTATGGGAAAGGTATATATACCATATGCATAACAGATGAAGGGTTCAGATCCATCTTCTATCCCGATCCAACCCTATTAAACGTTGAAACTAGAAAATGTACATGAGATTTTTGTTTTCTTATTTGATTTGTATGTATGTATACTGTATGTAGTTACCAATGGTATGGTTTTTCAATTGACGTATATACACCAAGGGAATAAGGTATTGAACAACTGTAATCACAGTATTCTGCTTGAGTATAAATAAAGTGGGAAAAGCTAGTAATAAGTAAAATGTCTGAATTAAATAATGTGTATATACATTTTTACAGCTAACTTTATAGCTTAGTATTTATATTCCCATATTAATCTCTTTATTATTCTCTCGAAAACAATAACAATAATAATAATAATAATAAAAAAAGCTTATTGATTGGATTGTTTTATTGTTATTATAAAAATAAAATTAGTCCATATATTTTAGTTTCTTTACCCTTGACACACCATTAGAGAAAGAAGGCTATAATAACAGTAAAAGGATGAGTTTCTAGTGTATATATAATATATATTTAATACTCACAGATAAATGTTGCTTTCTCTTTTTATTTCGATCATAGTTATCATTATCAGGACTATGATTATCATCAGAAGAAAATGGAGAGCTACCCATTCTTCTACTCGCAACTCGACTCGATTGTCTACCAGATAAACCTAAACATTTCTCAAGATGAGGTGCATATCTTGAAGAAGCAATTGGTTTTTGACAATTAACACAGTCATAAGATGGTAAATTATTGACTGTATAACTTTTACCCCATACATCCAATCCAGGACGTTTGACGTAATGCTTACATCTAGTACGTCATTTAGTATTTGACAACACATCTTACAATTTATACACACGTCTTACTTTGTTTGACAAATTTGACAAGTTGAATTCTCCTGCTTAGTGTCTTTATGAACATCAAATAATACATCGTTTATACATTCATCTATCAAGTCTTCTAATAAAGAGAATGCCTAAAAATAATAATTAATCAATCATTTCTGGTGCTTTCTCTCTCTCTCTCTCTCTCTTTAATTTACCATAGCAGCCCTAGGTGTATTTGGCTTTTTGGCAATATCGGGTATATTCTTTTGTAAACTTGCTTGTGTATGACTTAATTCTTCTAATGTCTTGTTACGATCCGATAACAACTTTTTAAACAGTCTTTATATATGTATATATATATATATATATATCGTTTTAGCTTGTATACAAAAAATGGATAATAAAAGTAGATTCGCTTACAAGGTACCAGCTTCTTTTTGACTTTCTGTCAAGTGAGCATTAGATAAATTATCTACATGTCCTTTAGGCTTTTGCATCTCTTCCTTTTATTTTTGTAAAGATTAAGAAAAAAAGGGTTTTCCTTAATTTTAGTAAAAAAAAAAAAAAAAATATATATATATATAGAGCCAATCAAGTGCTGTTACCTCCCAAGCAGTATTATCTGTATCAATAATTAATAGGCCCAAATGGGCTGTTACCTCCTCTCACAAGCAGTATTATCGGTAGCGGTAATTTTTAGAGTCAATTTACTGTTACCTCTCAAGCAGTGTTGTCGGTAACAGTATTCAGGAGTCAGACTGAGCTCGCTTGCTCCAAAAAGAAAAAATACGTCAACAAGCAGGAATGGGAA